TACAAAACCACCTCTAGTAAGGCCAGGTTGTCCTGGACACCAGGAAATAGCATTGTTTATCTTTACACCAGCGAAGCTCAGTAAGTTTGCAGACGACACCAAGTTGGGCTGGACTGTTGATCTGCTTGAGCGTAGAAAGGGTCTGTAGAGGAATCTGGACAGGCTGGATCGATGGGTTGAGGCCAACTGTATGATATTCAACAACGCCAAGTGCCAGGTCCTGCACTTGGATCATAACATCCCCATGTAACACTACAGGCTTGGGGAAGTGTGACTGGAAAGCTGCCCAGTGGAAAAGGACCTGGGGGTGTTGGTCAACAGCCAGCAGAATATGAGCCGGCAGTGTGCCCAGGTGGCCAAGAAGGTCAATGGCATCTTGGCTTGTATTAGAAATAGTGTGGCCAGCAGGACTTGGGAAGCGATCACCTCCCTGTACTCGGCACTAGTGAGGCCGCACCTTAAATACTGTGTTCAGTTTGGGGCCCCTCACTACAGGAAAAGTGTTGAGGTGCTGAAGCATGTCCAAAGAAGAGCAACAAAGCTGGTGAAGGGTCTAGACCAAAAGTCCTATGAGGAGCAGCTGAGGGAACTGGGGTTGTGTAGCCTGCAGAAAAGGAGGCTGAGGGGAGACCTTATCACTACCTGAAAGAAAGTTGTAGTGAGGTGGGTGTTAGTCTCTTTTCCCAAGTAACAGGCAACAAGACAAGAGGAAACAGCTTAAGCTGCACCAGGAGAGGTTCAGGTTGGATATTAGGAAAAATTTCTTCACTGAAAGAGTTGTCATGCATTGGAACAGACTGTTCAGGGAGTGGTTGAGTCACCATCCCTGGAGGTACTTAAGAGAGGTGCAGATGTGCCATTAGGGACATGGTTTCGTGGGACTCGGCAGTGTTAGGTTTCTGGTTGGACTTGACGATCTTAAAGTTTTTTTCCAACTGGAATGATTCTATAATCCTATGATGTCCTCCAACAAAACTCTAGTATGTACTACTTCTGAGAAATCAAAACAAATTCATCTTTACCTTAGGCAGGATGTCCACAAAGATGAAAAAACTAATCACACATGATCTGTTATCTGACGCTCTTACTTAGAAGAACAACTGAATGGTAACTGGAAGACAAACATTTTAATATTAAAGGAGGCTAATTACACTGTGCCTAGTCTGCAACAATTTCCTGCAAAAATAGAAACCATGCTGCAAAAGATATTTAAATGTTTTGACTGTGGGAAAAAGAACACTTATACACAACGTTTCCCTAACCTGCTAATACCACCAATTCCCAGGTTCAAAGCTTTATGCCCAGGAAATCCGCTACAGTAACAGCTCTGTGTTTTTTTCCTTTCTCTGTCCTTCCGTTTACTCTCTTACCTTCAAGCTATCCACTGGGAAACACCAGGATAGGAAAAACTCCATTTCTAATTACCGCAAACAAGAAGGAGAGTTTTCCATAGGCAAGCCCAAGCACCTCTGCCTCATTTGCTATTTAGGGACAACTACCCTAGTGATATCCAGAACACCTGTCACAGTGATGAAAGCCAATAAAGACTTTGTACCCCTCCAAATAAAGCACGCAATAAATAAATAATGAAAAAAAAACCAACACACCTTCTATTTCATGCATCCTACAATACCCTTCCTACTTGCTCCCTCTACAGTCCCTTGTAATATCTATTTATCCTCAGGAAATCCCAAAACAGCTCCCAAGACAGGGGAGCTCTTTATCTATAGCTGGAGAAATCACACAAAAAGATGCCAGTGACCTACCCAAAACTCACACAGGAAGTCAGTCAGAAAGAAGCGGAAAGGAGAAATTGAACTCAGTTTCCCAGCTACTTGGTGACGATCCTTCATTCTCCATCTGAAAGGCCCTAGGATCCTATACCAAGCAGCATAAGCACATCACACAAGCTCAAAAAAACTGGATTTTCAAGTTTCAGCTAGACCACAGAACATACAGTAGCTTTGCTCACTGTGAAGAAACAGATGTTGTTACTATGGGCATAACAAATATGCAAAACACCTACAAACAAATTGCCAAGAGCATTTTGTGAATACGCAACTCCCACAAAAGGATGTACCTTTCCAATTATGGAATTAAAGGAAGACTTTTCCTGCTTTTCATACTTCCCTGCCAGATATGCCGGGGGGCAGGGAACATACTTCTATTCTTCATATTCTTCCTTAAAGTCTCCTCCTGGCATTCTCTTGTCCTTTATGAACTTATTGGATAGCCCTCAGACTGGTGGGGTTACTCAAGTCTCACAAGTTTTGGAGAGAGAAGACAACTTACTTTACAGAGAATGCTCCCTTCATTGCCAATTCCCTTAACGCTTGGTACATGAGAAAGCTATAAGAAATTTGAAGGTAAAAACTACCTACAAGGGCAAGTGATGGTAGGCCCCTTTCAAAATCACACTGCATATAGTGTGAAGATTAAATAGTCTGTTCCTACAGCTTAAAACAATTCCCCTAAAAAAGAGCATTCAGGAGAAACTAAATTTTCTACTCTTTTTGTCTTTGCTTTCATCAGGTCTGTTTTAGAGTGGATTAAGTAGGCTAGTTCGCAAATTTAGTATTTGCTTTGGCTTCTGTGCAATTAAATTTCAGCAGAAAGCTTTGTTATTATTTCCCATTAAACATCTATCTCAAATATCTGCAATGAAAAAGCAGCAAGACTAGTAATGGATAATGTCCTGGAAACTTTCTATGAAGAATGCAGACGACCTGTTTGCACACCCTCAGCTAAGGAAAATACACTATGTAGATAAAAGTCACCGAATTTCTCTTGGTAGCACTTTAAAGGTGCCTTAAGCTACCCGGTGGCCAAAATCAGGGAAGTACACCCTGCAGCAGATATTCCATTTTTGTTGTGGTGGTGGACTATTTGCACAGAAAAATGTTACAGGAATTAAACTAGCAGCAGCAGTGTAGTTTAACAAGCCTTTTCTGAACCTTTTCTAGCCTGCTCCATAAAGAAATAAAGGAATCAAGAAGATGCATTAGAGATATGAAAGCTTATCTTGCTAAGTTACTTGTACATTCAAACAACCTTCATCTCCTAATAACAAGTGTGCTGGTAAGTTTGATTATCTGCCAAATAAACTCAAGGACTGTACAACATGTAACAGATCTTAGCATTAGAGACACTTCTAATATCCCAAACCATACATCGTATTTAATTTAATTCCTCCTGCACACTTAGCTGTACTTGCTCAACAGCAGTGATGTTAAACCACTATTATAAAAGAGAAAAATGTATTACCACTTTTTCCAGAATGACAAATCAAACACAAAAACATTGAGAATAAATAAAGACAAAAGGTTCTCACTTTAAAACACATACTTTCCCCCAGTACGTATAGGACATTTATGTCCTAAAGTTCTCCCCTTGGTTTGAGAAGAAGTATACCAGCATAACATGCTACTATAGTGAATCATTTTCAGAATGTGGCTAAAGGGTGAGATAAGATCACCTGTCTACTACCATCACACCGTAGCCACCCACACAACTTATACACAACTCTCAACCTTTTTCCTCCAGAATTACCAGGAACAAGGAAATAAAGAACACTCTGCAAGACTTCAGCAAAATTGATTATGAAATGCAGCTTTTTCTTGTACTTATTTAAGAGTCTTTTAAAAAAGCCACTGGAGCAGATTTCAAGGGACCTAAGTCTTCTTTGCAAAGCTTACTCAGGTTAGCCTCACTCCTTCATTTTATACTCTTCAGAACTCATTCACAATGCAGACTGGTCTTGGAACAGGCACAAGTTAAGAAAAGGCGATTTGGAAGTTCAGTGATGTATCAGCCCAACTTCTGGGCTCTGGCAAATGCAAAAATTTGCCTCACTCATACAAGCACTGACATTAGTCAGTACCTCTGATTCCAGCACAAATGCAACAGCAAAACTGATTTTCACTTATTAATATTACTGTACAGACATCTCCATGAAAGATGTGCAGGCTCTAACCTACTGTGACCTGTATACACCCTGCTCCTAACACCAGTAATTAAAAACCTACTTCTGAGCTTAACAAAACAGTGAAGATTCTCCAATATTGAGAGTCTTGAAACTGTGTACATATAGCCTGACATAACTTCTTGACACTACAAGAGCTACACTACCACATGTAAAAAAGGCCATTTCACTCCAAAAAGGGAACAAGATATGTGACAGCAACAGCTTCAAAGGTATGTGTAAGTAATTTCTATTATTGATAGAAAGATGTTCCATTTTTCACCCGGGGCTCTGGAAGTAAATCTAAATCTAAGGACACCTTAGCCAGGCTCATGCTTTATACCTCGTTTTCTTCCTACAGACACACTTGCTATCTGCCTTCCGCAGAAAGACACAAATACTTTTCTTAAGGTAAGGAAATGGCATAAGTTATCAATATTAGCACACGTACTGCTTCTTGAGCCACCTCAAGTGGCCAATCTTAAGTCTTGTCTGTCACAAGAGGGACTTACACTCTCAGAATTTTCAGGCTGCTGCTTCTTTAGTAAAGCCAGGGTACTAACACTTTCTTGCAACCATCTGACATCAATGTAATTTTTTTGCTACCTCCTCTCTATTCTCCAGAGTTCCCCTTCTTGTCTTTGCTCTGAACCCTCACTGCCTTGTTAACTTATTTGTTGTGCCACTCTGACAATATTTTTTGTTTTCTACTGTAATGGCTATAAAACTTAGGGAATTAATGAAAAGTAGAGACTTACACTTTTTCCTTGCTTCTTGCCTAGAATTTTTACTTAGTGCAGAGGCAGTCACAGATACTGCAATCTGATAACTGTTTTAAAGTGTTACATTTAGTATCCCTAAAGGATACTACATCTGTGGCGGGGAGAAGTAGTAAGAAAAGTAAGAAAAGGACCTGGCTTAAATTTTGTTCAATTCTCAAGCTGCTACACTTCTTAATTGTTAAGGGCTAAGTGACTTGCTCTACTGTCTTGGCCTTTTAATTCTGTATGCATGCACAGCGCTTAAGAACAATCCATACCTTATTCGTAGCAGTAGCGCTGGATCCTGGGACCACAGGCACATTGGTCACTTGCACTGTTAAGTAGTTATTGTCTATGAGGGGCCAAGCGCCTTCTACTTTGCATGTCTGGAAGCGGTCCTTAAAAGTCCTCAGATGAGGATCACCAAACAAGCCACAAAATAGGTAAGTAGGAGGAAGAGTCTTCTCCCCTCCCTGGTGTTTTTTGGCTTCTGTGTGGCCACTGTAATTGCAGGGATCATGGGACAATTCAGGGTTGGTGGAGGATGTGGGTCCATCTTTGGAACAGTTTCTCTGGCTCATGAGGTCGCTGATCCCAAGCACCGCAGAATGGTAGACTAGGTTTCCACGGCATACTTTGGAATTGCGATAGGTACAGGCAGAATATGCTCGCAGGGCCTTGCAGAACTCCAAATCAAAGTCCTCAAGAGCCGAGTTTAGATGTGAAGTTAAGGACACAAAATTGGTGGTGCACTTCTGGATTCGACAAGATGTTTGCAGCTGGCAGTCACCTGCACACAAAACATGGTAGGGAGAAATCAAGCAAACCTTTTAGATTGCAAACCCCATTCCACACCCACTGGGACCACAGAAAACAACCTGAAGACAACTTATAGTGCTCACCCATTAGGGAAACAATATATAATAGAGAAAAAGGGGTTGGGAGGCATAAAGATAGCAATATAGACCACCTCAAAGGCCGAGATAACCCATGCATGACTTAATCCATTACTTGACATTGTGTAGATGGAAATTAACAGCACTAACTCCTGCCAAGTATAAGCCCGCCATTTCTTTCCAGATACCAAGGTGATGATGCAATTCTGTTGCTCAAGTTAATCACTTAGTCAATAAGCAAGTCTCCATTCAGTCTTTCAGCGCTTTACACAAGTTACTGAACTTTTAAACAGAATCCTGCCCCTCAGAAGGATGTAGTAAAGGCAGTAAGCAATATACATTTAGACAAAAGCACACTGAATGAAGCAGAAGTCAAAGTTTCTCTCCTCAAAAGTGTGTGTGTGGTGTGTGTGTGGGGGGGG